AGACACAAAAATGATGACATTTTGCCAGTTCTCACCTACACATGGAGCCAGTTTCAGACTAGGATTAGTGTTTATAGAAAATATGTTAGAATAAGATTAGGATAAAGCTGGTTTATGGTTAAGATAAGGTTTAACTACTGTCCTAGAAAACAGTACCAGAAATGCCTGTGGGGGTGTTTCTGCATCTTTTATACCTTTGACTGTGTGTCTAATTGTGATGTGTGTGTACAGTGTGTACCTCTTTGTCCTCTCAAAGAAAGACAAATAATGAAATGATGAAATTCTTCTGTTTATTGTACGAGGATGGGACGAGGTTTATGTTCAGGTCAGGGTCGATTCATGTGAGGAGCCTGGCGAAGATTAGGGTTATAGGGGATGGGGAGTGAGTGACTGCCCTCACACATATAACAAGGCCTGTGGGCATTTCAAAATGTGCTTACCACTGAGTGTGCATGTTCTTCTTTTTCTGGACTTATGAGTACCAAATGTCCTCACAAAAATAAATACAAAACCATAAAACTTTCCATTTTTCCAGTCCTCACTTTAGGTCAAGGCCAGTTTGGAACTTCAGTTCATCGAATTCAGGTTAGAAGTACATAAAAAACACATGTTTGTGTGTCTTTATCCATTTTGAATTTGTTTTTATTGTTAAAGCAGGGCTACAACACGCTCTGACACAGTTGAAGGAATGAGGTTTGAGAAACCACTCATGTTCATAAGGCTGGAGCTCAGAGCAAACCGAGCAACTGTCCACATAAAAGGACTATAATATATGGAGATTTAATGAGTGCCGTATTAATTAGATGTTCTTAAAGAGCGACAGGGAGCCCAAGTAAAGCAAGCTGATTCCAATAAACTGTATTTCCAGACCCCAAATTCTGCAGGAGACTCGCCAAGGACCAACTCCCAGCTCCATTTGCAAAGCCCTGTGGTCAAAACCCCAACAAGGAGGAAAGTCCCATTTAATTTTACAGTGTCTTCTGGCCTCTAAAAATCCTCTGTGATGTGCTGGTTTGCTGATGGGAGAAGGAGGAGAGGCGACAGGGCAGAACGTCTCCTACGCTTAGATGAGAAACTTAACAAACAATATGAACTGACTGATGGAGGGCGTTCAGATGGAGCAGACACACCACAGAAGTCACTTTAATTTATTAACCACATGTTTAATTTCTTTCTCCTTTTCTCTTAAAGAAATCTGACTGATGTGGTTTAAAGAAATCTCTATTTGTCAGTAGCATCAGGATTGTTAGGATTTATACTGCAAGTTTTTTTAGGGGTAGTATGACAGGTGCCTGTGGGCTTCACTGTTGGATTCTATTGTTTATTATACTTCCACATCTTATTTTTATATCTTATTCTTATTCCTCAACCAAAGATTTTAAAGAGCTGTTTTCACTTTCTCACCATGAAAACAATCCTTTCAGTGAATATCCTGCAACCAAATAAATGCAAATGTCAACTTTAATTCAAGATGCTAATAAATAATTGTTGAATATAAATTAATTTTACTATATATATATATTCATATATATTTTAGTTCATTGATGATATAATGGTTTCTACTGCTCTGTTTATGCCACCAAAGCACCATAAAACATTTATGCTATATTATATTTATGCTATTAACTATTTTTACTTATTAAACCTGTTGTTAATCAAAAATAGGGCTAACAGAAGGTTCCATTTCTTTTAAATTTGGAATTTTGATCACCTGGTTCCACTTTTCTTGTCACTTTAATGAAGCGAAGTATCTTACAGTTGAGTCTAAAACTTATTTTTTAGAGTCAATTTCTTCTTCTGTGCCATTGAGCTCCATTGTTCAAAACATGTTATAAGCACAACAGTGAGCCATAGTGTTGCATTAGAATGATATATATATATATATATATGAAATTAAGTGCCCCCCCCACCACCACCACCACCAGCCACCCAAAGAGATCAAGACACACGACTAGTCATATTTAGTTATCAAATAAGACTTTAATTCAGTAACAAAACCCAATATGACAATAGCAAATGACTAGTTACAATAGAGGGTTTATGTTAATGAAAAGAGAACAACACAAATCCATCCATTCATTATCTATACTGCTTATCCCTGAATAGGGTCATGGGGGGATGGAGCCAATCCCAGATGATACTGGGTGAAATGAGGGGTCCACCCTGGACAGGTCTCCTGTCTATCACAGGGATGACATGTAGACAAACAACCACACACACTCACACTCACTCCTAGGGGCAATTTATAGAGTCACCAGTCAACCTAAGCTGACTTTGGACTGTGGGAGGAAGCCAGAGCACCTGGAGAGAGCCTACACAGGCACAGGGAGAACATGCAGAAAGGCCCAGGGTCGGCTCTGGGTCGAACCCGGAACCTTCCTGCTGGGAGGCAACAGGAGGTTGTTGAGTTGATATACCTGGACTTTCGTCCTCCCCTAACACTGGTGGATGACCTGGTGGTGCACTGGGTGGATTATTAGTAGCTTGTGGTTTGGAGGTTACACATGTAGTTTAAGGCCGTTGTTTTGATGTACCAGGGAATCTGAATGTTGATGAAATGAAATAAAAGAAATGTAAAAAAATCTCATTACATCACTCCATATTAATAATGGTTACTGTATAAAACTAATATTATGTATACTAATGTATGTACACTAATATTAAAAGCAACATGTCTACACAACAGCACCATCATCAATATTATCAAACCCATTAGTCATAGCAACATCATCATGAATAGCAGCAAAGTGATTAGAACCTACCTGTTGGTTCAAGTTGTCTAGATGTCTGTACTGAGAGTGCAGTTGCACTAATATACCTCTCAACCGCACCTAAACCACAAACAGAACCAAATTTATTAAGACAAGAATTATGTCAGGGCTAGTGGGTTTATGTAACTTTGTTACGCAATAAAGCTTTATCTCCATATTCAAATAGTAAACAATGTGCTTTTATCACACTAATTCAATCCACACAGCTTGACAATGTTATTTTTTACTTCTAAATTTCCTGACACAAGTAGCTAATATTAAACAAGGCAAATTAAAGAAAAAATATATAAATCTAGCTTGATAACATTATCCAAAATAAGAAGATTACTTTAGGTGTACATTTCCCCAAGTTATCAATATTAAAGGTGAAGGATTTCTCAGATAACAGCATCACTGTCTAACCCAGTCACAAAAAAACAACAGTATGATTTTTTTCAGTTGTGTAATTAACACATCATAAAGTTTTACTGTGTTATAATGTTATAATCTGTGTTAGCTAGCTAGCCTTCCTGAGCTAAAGTTAGCAGGCTAATAAAATAACTTTTACACTTTGCATAACACCACATCAGCAAACCTAAATCAAATGAAGTAGATAAATCATTTCTTACCTCTATTTTGATCCAATTTTTCACTTCCTCCTTTCTCTCTTTTTCTTTGGTCAGCTCGGGAAAGATAGGAGTGCTTCGTTTCTCTCAGCAGGAGGATTCATAAAACTCTCACCGTGACCGACGTTACTTCAGGGATCATGATGTTAAACATCCACAAGGGGGCCCTGTGTAGTAAGCTAAACTTGGCTCTATCTTGTTATAATTTGTCTATAGAGTTCATTCATTCATTCATTCATTCATTCATTCATTCATCTTCTATACCGCTCAGGCCCAAATGGGGTTGCTGGGCCGCGGGGGGGCTGGAGCCAATCAATCGGGCGAAGGCAGGGTTACACCCCGGACAGGTCGCCAGTCCATCGCAGTGTAAATAAAGTTGAGCTTTCCATGAAGGGAAAAATAGAAGAGGCCCTGAACCGTTTGGGGGAGCTATGGGCAGAAACGGCACTGTAAATGTGTATTAATCCCCAGCTGAAAATAGTCCCCAACTAACGCACTACTTACTCCTGTTTAACTAACATTTGCTGAAAATTACAAAATGACTGAGTCGTTTGTAAATTTAAAAAGTATAGATTTCCATCTTTAGAGAGAACCAGTGGACTTGATGCTGAGCGCCACAGACAAGGCGAAGAATTCGGACTGAAATGAGGCCAACTCTGGGTTATTTGCCACATTATCACTTCATCACACACAATACTCTATAGGCAGATATATGTGCAACAATGCAAATTCTTTTTTCCCCTTCAAATCTTGACCCTGCCCCCCCACCCCCTCCCCACACTCTAGCCCTTCATTTCCATCATTAGACCTGGATGCTGAGCATTATCTTATTTGCCAGCCGCCTCTGGTTTTGCTGCTCAGCCTGTGTCGTTTCTCTGGCTCTGGCTTCAGGGACCAGTGCTGTGGGCCAGCATGTCAGTCTTATTGCATAACCAGAGAGATCCATCATATACAAACTTCCCCCCAGCACATGTACGCTTTAATCACTTTCCCCTGACTTCATGCATGTAAATGATGGGAGTAACTTAGAATGCACTGCAGTCTCATTGCAGTTAGAAGAAATCTGAAAGATGAAAAAGCCTGGAATATTCTTGTTCAGTCCAAATACTGTTATGTATGACTCATGAGAAAATAGCTTGAAGACGTGAGCAATCCAAGTGGGTCAAAATATTTTTGAGAATCATGCTGGAAAAGGCCGTTTGTGTCCAGCTGTCGCAGGCTTGCTCATGCATACAGAAGGCAGATATGACAAATATGTGCATGTGCATATTATGTACAGCTCTGCATTTATTAAAAGGAGTGCTGCTATGTTCAGACTGAGGCAACCAGAAGTAGTCTGTCTGCACTGGTGTGAAAAAGAAGAGTTTTTGTCACAGTTTAATTCTTGTGGCTGAAAAACAATTTAGACCATTAAAAACTCTGGTGAAACCCAGAAGAATTAAATCATTTTGGTTTAGTGGTGGTTTGGTGGAGTGGCTCTGGGATACATTTCTGCATTTAGACGGGGAGTAGGAACATAAATAAAATGTTTTATGTCAGGATTCATAATGCTTTTTGTGTTCAGTGAGGACCCTCTGTTCTGGATGCTGCTAATGTCTCATGTATATGTGTGTGACATAGGTACCTGTATCTCTTGTTGTCCACGGGCACGATGTCCATGGTAATGTAATACTGTTGATGAGGCTCCAGACCGGCGATCTTTACTCGCATGGCAGGAAACATCCTCCTGAAGGGGAAAAGGCAACGCATACTGGTTCATTTCATTTCTAGCTGATGAATAACATTTAAGGTGGCATAGTGGTGCACTGGTTTTCGCCTCACAACAAGAAGGTTTGAACCTCATGGCTGACCGGGGACTATTCTTCCAGTGTGGGTTTTACTCTGGCTTCCTACCACAGTCCAAGACATTCAGGTTAGTTTGACTGGTGACTTTAAACTGTCAGTAGGTGTCAGTGCTTGTCTGTCTTTGTGTATCAGCCCTGTGATAGACTGGCAAACCATCCTGTGTGTTCGGTTGTGTGGATTTACAGTGTGTTCGCCGTAGATCATGAGTAGATGATGAATAACATTTAAAAAATATCCCTGAAAATAGCAAATAGCCGAAAAACCACCTTTACAATAAAAACAGTAATGTCAAAAAGGTCAGACTTAGGTCAGGCTCTCCACCAAAATCAGACTGATGAACTTAAGCATCAGCCGCTCATGCATGATGCATATTTAGAACTACACAAACACCGTGACACATGACAGTGTTTAATTGATTTAGGAGAATTAAAAACACAAACAGCCAACTCAAATCACATAAAAAAAAAACTAATTCAGATTTCTGCAGCTGGCATTGGGGAGGATAGTAAATAGCATAAAAAAAAATCTGATAGAGGAAAAAAGGTCAATATTTTAAAAAAGCTGTTATATGCTGCAGATCAGTCACTCTGAATGCTCCTGATATTTACCACAATTTAATTTTGTTAATTATCAGAGAAGCTTGTGTAATCCAGCACTGACTGTTAGATAATTATAATCAGTACATTAATATGTAAATGACAAAACTGTAATTGTGTCTTCATCACTGATATACACTTAAGAAATCGAACATCAAACTAGTGTTTTTTTATTTCACAAACATTTTTAAACATTAGCTGCATTCACACAAAAGATGTTTTAAATCTGTCTTTGCTCTGCCTGTCTGTCTGCTGAAATAAGAGATGAAGTGTCCTTCGTGTGAACAACCTCCCAGTTGAAGTAAACAGTGTGGTTTCTCCAGTGAGGTGGGTAAACCCATCTCACTGGAGACACAGTTTTACACTGTGTATTAAATGGAGCCCTAGTTTGGAAACTAAATGTGGAAACAGATTTTTCTTTAGTGGCTGTTTTTAGGTCCGTTGTCAAAGGTTTGTAGATGTTTTCATGGGAACTGGTCCTAACTGGGGCGGCACGGTGGTTAGTGCTGTTGCCTCCCAGCAGGAAGGTTCCGGGTTCGACCCAGAGCCGACCCTAGCAAGAAGGTTCTGGGTTTGAGTCCCGACCTGACCCAAAGCATTCCTGTGTAGGCTCTCTCCAGGTGCTCTGGCTTCCTCCCACAGTCCAAAGTCAGCTTAGGTTGACTGGTGACTCTAAATTGCCCCTAGGAGTGAATGTGAGTGTGTGTGGTTGTTTGTCTACATGTCATCCCTGTGATAGACAGGAGACCTGTCCAGGGTGGACCCCTCATTTCACCCAGTATCATCTGGGATTGGCTCCATCCCCCCATGACCCTATTCAGGGAAAAGCCGTATAGATAATGAATGGATGGATTTGTGTTGTTCTCTTTTCATTAACATAAACCCTCTATTGTAACTAGTCATTTGCTATTGTCATATTGGGTTTTGTTACTGAATTAAAGTCTTATTTGATAACTAAATATGACTAGTCGTGTGTCTTGGTCTCTTTGGAGGCTGCAAAGATCTTCTTTAAATGTTACTGTTCTAGTGAAGGAAGAAGCAAAGGTGATCTCTGACATGTGCAAGCCAGGAATGTAGGCCTGTTTTGCTGTTGTAATTTGATCACAATGCTTTAAAATATTTCAAATGAAAACGCTTTGGATATAGATAAATGTATTTTTATCTTTGAAATATTTTAGCAACCAGCTCCTCCCGTTGTAACGCTGCAGACTTCAGGTTTCAACTGATGCAATCCTCGTGAAAAAGGGGGAAACTCACTTATATTGAACTGTATAGTATATTAAACTCTGTATATGAAGAGGGAGACATTTCAGATGAACTTTTCGTTTTGCACTTCAGACCCGACATTTTCTCCTTTTCATTTAAAGCAGTAAATCCATTTCTAATAAGAAACGAAGACGGTTTTCTTGCTTCCCTTCTTTTTTGAATTTCTGGTCATGGCCGTGAAATGCACGTCTGCCTTCACTCGGTTTATGAGCTGATTACCAATTTAAACCCAGTTCATAATTAAAAAAAACAGCCACATGAGGTGTGTGACGAGAGGAGGGCGACGTTTCAATCTGAACTTAGGACAGATAGGAAGAGCAACAAAACAGCCTTGGAAGCAAAATAACAAACATATACTGATCTATACAGATATACACACAAACAAACACACCTGTCGCGCCAAACTAAAAACAAATAGAATAAATGAATCTGTGTGTTCCTTAAAATCCAGCTGAGTTTTTCCGCTATGGTCTGAAGAGACTAATAAATGAATCCTTCTCTGAGAGGACTGACCTGCTGATGGAGCCATACGGCAAACATAGATAAAGCGCCTTAATAGTCTGTGCAGAGTAAAACTGAAACGTTTTGGGTGGGAAAAATCCAAATAAATAAATAAATACATTTGAACAAATAGTGCAAAGGTAAAGTACATTTTTTCTCGTTATTAGCTATAAAGTGAACTTGCATGGAATATGTTCAGTAAATGAAAATACGTTGCAAAAGGTTCCAGCACCAAGACTTCTAGATATGTTTCATACAAGCACACCCCACTGACCGCGTGTATTTCATTCATCTGATTGAAAAACAAAAACCGATAATAGAAATAGTGTTACTGGGGACAGGGAGTGACGCACTACTGAACCAACACTAAGCCACATTGATGTGAAGTGAGGAGGAAATGGCCTCCTCCGGGGGCAGTGAACGGAGCTCTGGGTCTGAGCTGTTCACCCGAGGGAGTGAGGAAACCCGGAACATGTTACAGGGAGATTAACTGGAACCAGTGCTCCTGGTGCTCCGACATCAGGAATGGCACATCGCACCATTAAGGCCTGCGCACAGCAGCGTGGCCCGCATGTGCAACACACTAACACCTTTCAACGTGAGCTCAGATGTGCGTTAGACAACGCAGCTCTGTCTGAGGTGTGTATCTTTAAAAATGACACGCGCGGGTGTGTGCGTGCTTCTGCAGGCTTTAGATCTGCGCATTTGATAAATGTTTGAGTGACGTCATGAGTCTGAGTTGTCACAAGCTGACAGAGTAAATTCTTTTCATAAATGTCTTACAGCGACACTGATGAATACGTCTATCTGCGCCTTGATTCCTCAGAAGGACTGCAGGTAAACCTTGTGGGCTTGCGTGCGTTTGAGCGTGCGTGTGTTTGGCCTACCTGCCAGCCTTGGTGATGATCATCTCGGTGCCGATGTCATGGAAGCGCTTCCACAGGTCTGCGCACTGCAGCTCCACCTGGATGTCCTCCATAGAGGCCGGGGGTGATGAGTCGCAGGGGCCGGGGGCCAGGTCGGCAGGTGAGCCAAAGGAGCAAGACGTCCTCTCGGCCAGACCCTCTCCGTCCGAACCGGGACTCGCCTCGGAGTCTGAGGGGAAAATGAGGAAGATGCTGAAAAGGCAGCTCTGAAACAGTGGAATTAATAGGCCACAGGAAACTTGGCACGGAGAGAGAATACAGCAGTTTTCTCCGCTGACTTCCAATCACCTGCTGTCGTCTGCCGCTTGGAGAGAAGCGGCCGAGTTTGGCTCGCTGGCCCGGCTCGTCATGGAGCTCTGGGTTAATGTCAAAAGCAGACTAAATGCTGAGTGAAACCTTTGAAATGTAAAAAATATTACAATTAAAACTGGGCCACACAATGAAAAATTCCGATGGGAAACGTTCAGCAAATTAGGTTCCCCCTCAAATTGTCCTTCTGGACCAGGTTTTACAGACTGGCCATTCAGCTGAAACACAACGCCTGAGCAGATAAACACGTTTCCTTCATCGTGACACAACTCCAGACCTACAGGCGAGGTTTCCATCCGTCTGGGCCTGTCACTCCCAGACACACAGGAGGAAGACCTCAGCCTCCTTTATATGAGCCTTTCCACTTCATTTTAAACCAAGCAGCCTAACTGCCCACGTCACAGCGGGGCGGACAAAATAACAGTAACACCAGACAGTATTACGCCATCCAAAATCCGGCATGACCTTCGTGAAGAGTTCAGATGTTGACTTTGTATCAGAATGTATCAGGAGGTCTGAGATTTTAATCTCAAACACTGTGAAAATGAACCTTTTCTTTAAAGTGAACCAGGAAACTATAAATGACACCAAACTGTGAATCCAAACCACTTTGTCACCTCATCACAACACGTTTGCGCATCGCGTTTTACTCTGATCTTTAAGTATCACGTATTTTTGCAGCTGGGATGTCAGATCGTTAAAGCCCCAAACCTCAGAACTGCAGTTTACCCGGATAAAACTCCCATAGGCTCACCAGATCCGACTACTTATTTCACTTTTCCAACACCCCAGCCACCACCGAAAACATTTAAAAAGTATAATATCTCATAAATAATTATTTATCGAGGGCCCTGACACTGGGAGGTTGATTTGGCAGACGAAGGGCACACAAATATGTTTATGCAAATGCAGAGCTGCTGAGACACTGGACAGCTTCCCAGGTAAAACCGCGGCAGCGCAGGCCGAGCCAAGCCCGCTGGAAACAGGCGCACGAAGAGGAGAGCTGGAGGTGGGGGTGATGATGGCCACAGAGAGACCGACAGAGACTTTCCATCATCTTGTTGGGAGATCGATCCAGTGTCGGTGCAGCCAGCGAGGACTGTCACGCATGATCACTCTTCCCATCTTCTCCTTCTAACCTATCACGCACATGCAGATACACAATGAGCGAGTCCCAACAAATACACTGCACAATTGCCTGCACCGGTGTAATGTAATCTGCAGATGTGGCCATTCAGATTAGCCGATGGAGCAGAAGACATTTAATTTGAGTATCTGACGGAGGAAGAGCAGGCTGTGCAGAATAATCTGGATTAATAACGTGGCAGGCTGTGCAGAATAATCTGGATTAACAACGTCACCTGCTTTGGTTTTGGTTTCTAGATCCTAAACTGCACAAAAACATTTGACGTGTTCAAACGAAAGAAAATGTTTCTTTTACATTTTTGCACTTTCTTCGTCTGACGCACCTGGAATACAGTCAGGTAGGCAGGATTCTAAATGATAAATTATCACAGTTACTGAGAGGAAGTGACGCATTAACATTTAAAAGCCTAAAAATAACCTCACTTAACGGAATAAGGCGATAAATCTGAATAGTTTTAATTTTATACAAATCTAAATGCAGCTGTGACAGGGAGAAGATTTGACACTACAATAAAAATGTGATATTTCTGGCATCAAGATGGAAAGATGTTTAAAACCATTGAGTAACTCCAGATCTACTTTGGACGTTCGTGTTAGTGAAACAAACAGATGCATTCTTGGTTAAATGAAACAGAGATGCCAAGCAGGAGGCAGGTCCACTGTAGGCCCTGTCGTCCGTCACACAGGGTAAACCAGAGGGTGGCCAAACAAACACACTAACAGGAAGCAGCCACCGTATATGTGTGTGTTTTTGTATACAGTCAGCTCAGTCAAACATCAGGCCTGAAATGAGTTCATGTCAAAAAAACAGCATAATTGAAAACACATGTCAATCCAGTACCACACAGCATCAAGTTCAGTTTCTAAGCCGAAGCTTCGGTTTAGTTTTTTGAAGCTGATTAAATAAAAATGGAAGTTTATGGGGGAACAAAAATGTGTGCACTCAGCTGAATGCTGCCCTGACATCTGCTGTGGTTAGCTTCACACACACATACACTTGGGGCCTGTATCTTGTGGTTCAGGGCCCCCAATCAGCTCATGCCAGGCCTCATTAAAACGGAACTAACATCCATAATAGGCCTCTATGTGGTCTGAATCGAATCAAGTCAGTGCTGTACATCAGATTGTCCTCTCTGGCACAGTTCACAGGCAGTCACGTTCACATCAGCTTCAAACAGCTGGACAATAGCTGAGGAGCGTGACGCACATACAAGAAGAGGAAGCGCAAGAGGCTTTCAATCAGAAAAAGGTAGAAATGTTTGCTGCTGTTGTGGTGTCAGGGATGAAACAGCTGAACCGGGGCACAGGCCTAGGGGCCCAAGAACAGATCATCTCAAAAGCACTGTTAATCCCTCTGCTGGAAAGTCGATCAAATGAATATAAAATGTCTACTAAAGGCCACAAGAGGAGAAAAAGAAACTCCAAGTAAACTACAAAGAAACAGAATAAACCCCAAAGACAGCAGGACTAGAAAAGAAGCCAAACTACAAAAAGAGACAAAACAAGCGAAAATGGTTGTAAGCAAAACAAAAAAGTCGCAGGAAGCCACAAACTTACTACAAATCACGGTTACTTAGTTTATGAGTATAATAATCCGTCCACGGTGGCGGGGGGGGGGAGCTTTTGTGAATGGTGAATTAAATTTATATTTAATTAAGCTGAAACAATTGTTGAATGGGAGAGTTAAACATTTTACACTGGATGTCTCTGGTGAGGAGCTGGATGAGTGTTTTAAACTGGGAGCTGCTGATGTTTTGTGTCTTAATCATTAACCTGACATAAAGCTGTAACATCTAGGAACAAATTCTACAACTGTTTTAAAATGGCTGACTTTCTTTACAGATTGTCTATTAAACTTCATTGTGCATCCCTTTTTTCAAACATTTTTTACAGCCACAGAACTTTCTTCACAAACGTCTCTAAATATGCCAAATAATAATATGTCAGACTAAAATTTGTGAAACTTATACAACATTCTGTCTCCAGTATTTCTATTTGATGTTGTGGTGCAGCAATAAAACGTGGTCCCAGTTTAGGAATGTGTATCTGAAATTTGACTGGGATACCAAACTAACAAATTACAAAATTAATCTGCACACTAATAGTTGTTAGATGTTTTTACGTTTGCAGTGAAATTGTCTTTACGCAGTGAAGGTGCGGAAGATTTCCGAGGCGGACAATAATAATTTCCCAACCACGAAATCACGGTGCACAGTGCCAGCACCGGTTTGATCACGGATGGAGACTGAAGAAGACTTCAATCCCGCTCATACACATCTTTTATCAGCCGCACAGTCACCTGAGGGGTTACCCTTTAGGTTCAGCTCTTAAAGGCAGACTGTTGGATGCACGTCTGTGCTTTCCTCACTCCTGCTCTTGTCTTTGAGGCCAACAAACGAGTTATACGACCAGCGGTCTTCCAGTCTGGCCTGGAGCTGAGTAGAAATAAAATAAGTCCGTTCAAGGTTTCCCTGAACTACATAATCCCACCGCAGAGACTGTGGCTGTTCTTGGTCACCGCCGCCGGACGCGCCGAGCAAAGCAGGACCCCCCGAACCTGCCAGGATACCGCCAGCTAATGAGTGGGACCGGGGTTAGGGGTCCGGGGTCCGGGAATTTGGGTTATTCATTCGGGCACAAATACTGAAATTACCCGGAACAAAATCTGGAGTGATTGAGAAGAAAACCTTTCTGCCACAGAGAATTAAAAAGATTAGAATTGTGACTGCTTGGTTCTTTAGTGAGGTCCAGTGGTTAATTTGGCTGATGATCTCTGACCTTGTGAAAACACAAAAACAAGCCGTTTGCCATTGACAACACTGTAACGAATGTCAAACCTTTCAGTATTTAAACATGAACAACAACTTTCCCATGAGAGCTCCGATAGAACTCACTACTCTTTTCCCGTTTCTGCTTTGCTTTTAGTGTCACACCGGAGAGGAGCCGTGCGCAAAGGCGCTGGACCCCGGAGGTCAGGCTGCAGCAGGCGGGGGGCTACATCTCTGCCTGGCTCTAATGAGCTGTGATGTACGTAATGTGATATATTAGTAGATATCAAGCCAAATTCATTCTTCAGTCATCAAGAGTGGGCATGTTTTGGACCCATAGTCATCACCAAGATTATTCATTCCCACCAATTCTAAAATTTTGCAAGAAGACAACTAAACTTAAACACAGTCTTTAAACAGTGTTTGGACCAAATCACCCTGAATTCAACAACAACAAAGAGTTTTTATCTGTAGCAGGACTCGGTTTAAAAACAGAGCTCAAAGCGAGCATCGAGGTTAAAAGTCATTTCTCCACAGCGTGTGATCAGTTCATCTCCAAACACTGAAATCTAATTAAACAGACCGCAGCCAGAATATTTCATTACACCTGTAATTAATTCATCCGCAAAATAAAAACCGTAATACTGTGGCTTGTGTGCTACAAATCAATTAAGCGTTTTAGTTCATACAAATATGAATTTCAAAAATCACAAAATCAGCTTGCTCACGTACAAACAGCAGCTGTAGAACAAATGGCCCATTTTCTAAAATAAAAGCATTTACAAAAAGCTGCGTAAACAACAAAACATTGCCGTGCTTTATCTTGATTTTCACAAATGTCACTTATTTTCTACCCTTAAAATCTTCGTAAATTAAATGTTTGTATTTTGCGTTGTTTTACACGTTCTTTCCACTATTAAAATGCAGGATTTGTTCAGATTTGATTGGTGATTTCTTTCATTCCATCTTTAAACTGATCACACATTTCCACGAATGATCGAGTCTTTGATATTCCTTAAAGGTTTTTTGAGGCATTCTGACATCGGGTGTTCTGTGTTTCTTAGCTGCGGACAATATCTTTTAAAATATACATGTGTTTTTCTGAGAATGGAGCAGAGAAGTTCAGGTCATTTACTCCATGGCAGTGCGCTGCGAAACGAGCCGAGGCCTCGCTGCAAGTCTGCAGCCAAATGTACGCGAAAAGCAAACAGCACCACAGTTTTACACTTAAAGCCACTGAAGTATTTTGATGTGTGTTTGTGTGTGTGTGTGTGTTTCTGTCATGTCGCAGTGTAATCCACCAGTCCGGAATCAAAACGTGGACAAGCCAACCTCCATGATACAAAGACCCATCTAATCACAAGCAGTTTTAAGTTGTATCGAGGGTTTGATTGTTCACCGGTGTGAACTCGGGCTGCCATTGTCCGGACACCAGATAACTGATTTTCTCTACTGGAGGTTTGTGAGCCAGGCTACATCAGAGCGGAAACACTGGAGAGAATCTCTAAATTAGTAAAAATCACATCCCCACGGAGGCCGTAGAACTCATGGCTACGTGCTCTACGCGGGTTGGGAAACTGAAAATGGAGTCATGTTTTGATTCGGGACTCGTGGGTTTGCATTGCGCTGAGGAGATTTAACGGAGATCCGGACACTTGAGCGGTGTGGTGCATGCCTGCGCACTGACCCGGGTCCATATCCAGACAGTGCGCCGGGTCCTCTCCGTCTGTGCCAAGACTCTCCATGGACAACTCCAGTTCCTTTTCCTCCCAGCCCCGGAGCTTCCTCTTCTTGTTGGAGCCGATCAGGGCTTCCACGGAAAAAGCGTGCGCTCTAGAGCTCAGAGCTGCGGCAGATCGCCTCCTCTCACTCATTTCTCTCAAATCCACCCGATGGGGGACGCTGCGAAAAACCCCTCTCCGTCCGTCCAAAGCAAACCAAAAAAAAAAAAAAAGCACACGTCAGTGTTTACAGCGGGGCGCAAACTCACCAAGTATCCAAAGTAATCCCAACTGTGACTAGAAACGCCGCGTCAAACTTTTGAAGGCAGACTGCGCCATCCTTGCTGCGCATGAGATCAAGTCTGGGAGGATTGACAGTTTTGATGCGGTCTGCCGCTTTGCGCGTCTCCTCGTCTTTCTTTTTCTCTTTCTGTCCTCCTAACTTCTATCTGATTGATATTCACTTCTGGAGCAGTTTTTTCCAGGCGCAGAGGGCGGCCCTCTAGTGCCCTGTCAAACCCGGGCGCGTCCAATGAGAAGTAAGAAAAGGCAGCAAGGCGTATTCGTCCAATGACAACGGAGGGAGACGCGCGTCCTGGTAGAGGAACCTTCATCCGGACTGCAGCAGCCTAATGAACTGACTGCACAATGTAGTCTGTGGAAGAATACATTGGCTGATTATACGTGTTTATTTGTCGGTACACCAATATCTGCATTGATAGCAGGTTTCCATGTCAACTGAATTACAATATCATAAGTCTAAACAATGAGTCTAGTGATGCAAATATTGACCTCCCCGGCCCTGCTGTCTTCCGCCTTTGACAACCTGATCCCGCTGCTTCATTTTACTTCTCCACTGAAGGCCGGCCAACCAAGTCTGGGCCTGCAGGGCCGGAGCGGGACCGTCATCTCATGGTGATCATTACAGTCATTTCAATATCTCTCTCTGCACTAAGTATGTCAGAGCCACTGACTCCATCACTATATTACCAGGGAGGACTGTAGGAAAAGTCATTTTACAGTTTCACTGTCTTCCGCCAGCTGAGGAGCTACAGCAGGGCTGCAGCAGGGCAGGTGGGCTGGTCCTGGAGCTGCTTGTTGAGCGCTTAGTTCAGCAGATCGAAAGGCCAGTCACACAGAAATATACTACTGTATATACTGTGGTCAATAAAGACTTTTAGATGGAGAACATTTAGGAGCCAATAGAATGATGTTTAAAAATGAAGTGTCCACCCACGGCCTCGCTTCTATTTATTGTATTAGTTTATTGTGGACTATATATTAATCATTCATATGATTTAAACATATTACAGCCACTTTCCCGCTGCTGATGAAACCAGTGGTGGAGCACATGACAGCACACTGAATTATTCCACACATTAATAACAAAACTCTTTTAAAATTTAGAAAATACATGTTGTGTTTACTATTGGGATGAAAATATAAAATCAAACAACTTCAATTTTGTGTAATGCTAGAAAATCTTTTTCCCGTAGCAAAATAAAGATATACTAGTATTATATATTTTTAAAAAGATAATAACCACTTAGGCTAATGATAAGGACAATACTGCAGGTCATGTTTCCAACGGTCTTTGGTAAAAGATCACGGCCCAGGATCCCGGAGACACTTGGTGAGACTTTGTTCTGAGCTGTGTGTGATCCGTGTGCGGGCCTGATGCTCAGGAAGAGGCGCCCTGAGAGGAGAGAGAGACCGGTCGCTTTCTACCGCAGAGAAAAAGCGCGTTTCACGCATTTCCCGTCAGCAGCACGACAAAAGAGTCAGGAGTGAAATAGCAGAGGGGCATCTCTGTGTGAGCGGAGGAAAGGCCTGACAGTCAACTTGAAGGAAATGGTAAAGTGCACAGCTCCATCATGAATCTACACAAACTTTAAAAGTGTAAAACATGTGGTACGGAGTTAAGAACATCACAACGAACGAAAAGACAGCAAACACAATTATTATAAAGAGTAAAAAAATATAAAATTTGGGTGGAACCTTTCGGAGTGTGTTGCTGTATCTCTCAGCCGATATAAATCACAGAAATGAACGGTTTCCTGCCACCACACCTTCCATCATTGCTGCTTTCAGTGAAAATAATGTGTGCGTTGAGTTTATTTGAGGAAGTTTAAAACTAAATACTGAAAACCAAATTACAGACTCATGTAGGAATACAGAGTTTGTTACCGATTAGTATTTACGCCACAATAATTCGTGGATTTTTTTGTTTTTTAAATGTTCGATGCTAATGTTCAGTAAACGCTTGGTGCGTAAAGTTGGGTCAAAGTAAATATTCTGCGTGGACGCTTGTGTGTACGCGCGGTGGGGAGTCTGTGGGATGAAACTTGTTAAACACCGACGGTAAAAACGAAAACCAAGTGTCTGTCCCGATGGCATCTCAGGGTTAAATGTGAACGACTTGATTCTCATTCATGTGATTTATCACATGAACATCTCCAGAGGTTTGCGTGGCACGTCTTTATTCGGCTTCAGTTCCTTCAAATCTTTTCTTTCAAACTAATTTCTGAACAAACTCACACCAGTTTTTGTTTAATTTAATTTAATTTCTTTTTTTTTCTACAAGAGAGCTCCTCGGACTGTGCACAAACACACGGGCACAGCCCGATGTTCCGCAGAGGAGCCTTTGTTTTCTGACCTTATCCTACCACACGGGCACGTGATGGTGGGCGGAAACGTTCAAACGTGCTGTTGATATTCAATTAGTAAAAGAAAGTCATAAGCCTGCCGGAGGTTGAAGCATGTAGGAACAGTAAAGCCTCCAAAGTGACAGCAGCTCTGCCCCGGGCCAGTGGCCGCGCTTCTCCACACACTGAACGCGCTAAATATAGCGGAGAGCAGCTGCAGCGGCCGCAAAGGCGGAAGATGTGAACATGTTGGAGCCTACATATGTGCAAAGAACCTAAACTCACCAGAGCCTTATTTCTGGGGGTAAAATGAAAGAAGCAGCATCCGATTGGACCGAGATGAGGTTCTGGGTGTTACATGGTTTATTTAACCAGAAACCGTCCTACTGTGGTGATCACAACCAAGTCAGTGTTATTTTAAATCTCACATGTGGCAGTTAAATGAGTGCACGATAAATAAAGAGGCTGCTTTGTTTAAACAAATCACGTTTTAAAAATAAAATAATATATTTGCGCTTTGGATGTGCGTGTTTTCTCTGCTTCTGTCACTTATAAACTTAATTTAGACCCAAACATCTCCGCCACCCAGTTCTAGAGGCTAAATGAGCCGGAATGATCCTTTAACCCCCCACACACACATTGAATATGTATACACCATATTTGATAAAAGTACCTGAACATCCTACATTATGTTCGTTGCGTAATTGCGCGTTACCTGCTATTTGATTAGGTATCAATACCAAGATCAGGTGCGTCTTGCACAGAGCAATATGTTCATCAACGTGCTGTATGATGTGAAGGTTAAGTTACAACTTTCCTCTTCCGTTCACTGTTTGGACACCGTTTACCTTCATCAGTCAAATTCGGACTGTTTCCCCGTGACACATTTCCATTAAAATACCATCGTTTACTCCAAACCAGTTTCCCCCCAGTGCATAAAACAGTTCAGGGTATGGATGTTGGCTCACTATTTGTCTTAATGCCGCAGTGCTAACGGGGCTCGGTGATTTACACCCTGGTGCTGTGGATATGTAGTCTATATACATTATTTTTCTTTCAGTTATTTATGCCAAAAGGAGAATAGGACCAAAGGGCAATAAACCGAGTGTCGGTGTCCAAGTTAACAGCGAAATGGAGAACACACAGCTCAGCTCCACGCTGTGTGCAGGCTGTGAGTCTCTGTGGGGGTATTACACGACTGGAGAAGTGCATTTTCAATTAGAGAAAGTGTGATGACAGAAAGCAAATGAAGGAAAGGGCAGGAGACAAATGGAAAAACGGGAAGGAAGGAGGACAACGTTAAGGAAGAAAAGAAATGAATAAATACCACTGAATGTGTTCAAGTCACTGATGTGGATAATTATTTGTTAAATTAGTTTGAACACTTATGTGTACTTGTGGAATCATGCACACACGATTCTATCATTCAGGTTTGTGTGTATGTATAGTTTAATTAGTTGGGTCATATGGTTGTAAATCAGACATTTACAGTGAAAATATTGGGTTGATTCATAAAATGTAAAACGGTGCATTGGCAACACATTCAATGACAATGACAAGGGTGAAAAAACTACTTGGAAATATACAAAAAATGAAATCATATTGTGTATTGACATGTTCCCCAAATCTTTAAAGAAATAACATTGTAAAATAACATCACCTTGGCATGAGGAGTGACAACACGTCCATGCAGCAGAGATGAAAACTGGTTTGAAGGAGACAAAAATACTGAGGTCCTGTGGTATTTTGAGATCAATACACAAACACAAAGGCAGATAAAGAACAGACAGTGTCTTCAAAACAAGTGTGGACATGTCAAAAGACAAAAGCGACTTCTGGTTTTGCTGTGCTCAGACCAGCACTAAAAGCTGCAGCCTCCTCATTCATGTCAATGAGACAAACAGAAGACACAATAGTTTGTGTTTTCTCTGCTGCTTTCCACACCTTTTATTAGACTTGCATCCTTGACAATCCGCCACAGAGATGTAAACAGTCATTAGCATCTAATTTCAGCAGCTAAGTCAGCAGTATAAACGTGGCCTTATTTTCCAGCCTAGCTGCCCCTCAGCAGAACCCAACACGCTGTCGGACCTCTCTGAGAACCGGTGCAGCCAGCCCCCGAGCCCTCTGGGCCCCTTGAGCCAGCACTCCCTCCAGGTGAGCCGGGTCGCCCCTCAGCCTCTCGATCTCCGCTCTAATGGGCGTTAACCTCTGGATCACAGCCTCAGAGACAAGCTTCTTATAGGCTCCGGTGTCCAGCCCCCTGGCTTGTGATACTGCCTCCTCCACACTGATCATCGCCATGGCAGCATGGATGGTCACCAGGTTGGACACACCTGGACGTGTCTCCGGATCAAAGGTGACCTCAGAGGTAAGGTCAGTGACAGCGCGACGGATTTTAAGGGCAATGTCGTCAGGAGAGTCCGTGATGGCGATTGTCGCCATTTTTTGGGGGTCGGATTTGGACATTTTGGCGGAGGGGTCACGGAGGGATTTGACCTTTCGTGCGGAGCCTGTGGAAGGAAAACAGATGGAGAAACCCAGTGATGTTAATGAGGAAACTGTTTTCCCTTATACCAGGTGGGCCACGGAAAAGCAGCCTGCCTCCGGCATTCCAAACTTGAACACCGGTATTGGAGGCGGGCTACTTTTCCGTGGCCCACCCTGTATTTATAAAACTCACAAAGCTCTGCATCACTGCTCACAGAGGACAAGGGTATGCACCGGGATTATTTATTTATTTACCCCTTTAAAGCTTCATCTTCAATTAATGTGCAGTCCTAGTATCTGTGTTCAGGAATTTTTACTGTAACTCAAACTAAAAAGCATTTTCGGCAAACCTTCTTCTCAGGATGTTTGTGATTATTTGTAATTTGTAGAGGTTGGAGATTATGTCTGATGGTTGTGGGATTATATCTGGCGGGGAGCTTTGGAAAGTTTCCAGACAGGCTGATCTGAAGACACCTGTCAGGACTCAAGTAGGACAGCAACAGACTGCTGCACACTGAAGAAGGCACAGCCAAAATGTTTGTACTGATACGTTAAACACAAGCTCTGAATCCTGTTCATGTCAGAAGGAGTGACATGATAAAATAAGAAACTAACTGAAGAATAACATTTTCATTACTGCTGTGTGAAGCAGATGTGTCTCAGTGTCAGGTGACACCCTGTGGGAGCCGGTTTCCTTTTATTCATCAACCTCATCCTTCCTGCATCTTGCAAGCTCTGTCCCAAACAGCCGTCCACACCCATCCCATGTACAGCGTCCTGTGCATCACCGTGAGACACACTTATTTCAAGCTAATTACAAGATGGAAGGTGGTGACTAGCAGCTGTGTTTTGACAAGAATGAAGCTGGGATCCAAACACACAAACCCCCTAAACTCCGCGAGTCATCTCGAGCATAGGCCCCAATCTATCATTACCAAATTATAATGATACAAGAGGAAGAAAATATTTCTTTAATCAAAGCTGCTCTGCACACAAGGCTGACTCCATCATGACCCTGTTAACTACAAAGAAACTGGGGAGTGAGAGGGATCTCTGAACATGTCGGCCATGTGTGTGGGCAAAGACATTTTGTACAGCAGAGTAATATTTAAAAAAAAAAAATCTTATTATATGTTAACTCTTTGTTGAAAGCCCTGATATTTTCCAGAGTTTCCATTTACTGTAGTACATGGTGGGTCGGCCGACATTTAAAAACAAAACTCTTTTTACCCAGTAAGTCTAGTAGAGGCCGGACACCTGTCCAAGACAACAGCATACAAACAGCAACAACAACACAATAAAACACAAAGAAAACAATACTTAAGACAGAGGATATTTAAAAGGCTGTAATAAAATGAGAATTACTAATAATGTATCACACACTGCTCTGTCCTGTAACCAGATGTAAAGGAGAAGAAATCTCTTTTTATCTTTTTCTTTAAATAAAAGGACATTTTGTTTTCTGAATTTGTGCAATGAACAGACGACAAAACTAGTGTCAGCCCCCTGAATCAAAAAACAAGCTGTTTAGTTTTACAGAATTCAGGGAAAGACACAAAAACAAACTTCATATGTCAAAATCAGATAAGATATGTTGAGATTGATTTCTTTATGGTAGTTGTCCTGTGTGTGTGTGTGTGTGTGTGTGTGTGTGTGTGTGTCTGTGTGTGCGTGCTGCCATGTCTATAAACGCATGTGTGTTCTTACTCAACAGGGTGCGAGGCACAGGGAACAGGTCTCCATAGCGGCTGTTGAAGATACGAGCGAGATCCTGAGCCAGCTCTAAATGCTGGACCTGGTCCTCCCCAACGGGGACGTGAGTGGACCTAAGAGATGAGCCCAGAACGAAAACAATGCCGAGTTAGAGTACAGCATTTTAAACTAGCAGCTAACTGAAGACATTCCAGTTGCTGCTGGAAACCTGTTCAGCACTGGTTTGCAACCGTCACTCAGGAGGAAGATATCCATCGGTCAGAGTGCGTTAGAGACGAGGCTTTCTCTGCTCCATCAGCCTGTTTTCACAGGAAGTGAGGTTGTGGCTGTTGGATGGTTCAAACAGGTCAGGTAACAACTTCTAATTTCTTTTTAGAAACGTGGGAGTGAAGGATTCATTTCCACAGAGGAGCTACAATAATCTGACCACCAACTGATGGGACCACAAACTCGACTGATACACCCCCACCACATTTAAACTACTTAAACCATCAGATTGCTTTCCAGCACTAAAACATGATACAAATATTTATATGGAACTCAAGTAAAATAGCTTGGCCCACTGGCTATGATACAACTGTCTCTTAGATTTCTGCCTCTGCCTTCTAAGGTGAATGAAATTTTATTTCATTGCTTGCAACATCTCCCCATTACTCTGACTAAACCAAGAAAATACTTAACATTTAAGGAGCAAATCTCTCTGAATCTCTCTGTCACCCGAGAGAGGTGGCCCATCTCTCGGGTGACACCTGTGTAACAATACACTGTGCCAATACTGTACTCATGTTATCAACAGCGGAAGTAACAATGTACAATTTAGCTGCTCAGACCCACAATAACAAGAAACAATAGTCTGGATATATACTGTTGTTTACATTTGCTCTTTTGAAACCCAGACCAATGTATGCAGAGCACTTCCTCAACAGCAGACTTTGCTTTAAAAACATTGAGAACACTGCTGCAGCTTCTCCTAATACAGAAACTACAGTGTGCGACCCCTTCCTAGAGAGGGAACATAAACATTTAAATGATTAAATCCAGGCTGAAAAACAATGAAGTCAACATGTCTTTAGCCCTCAAATACACAATGTGCATTATAATAAATATATATATACACACACACGTGGCAACAGCCAGTAAATGTTGGTAAGAAACTTCACAGCTCAGTAGATGAAGCTCTACAAAGAAATAATGATGCTCAAACTTACATGAAGAGATACAACAGCAAAACATATCTGACAACACACACGACATCCTACTTGCATGGAGTTCTCACTTGTAGAGGAGAATATCGGCAGCCTGGAGGACAGGATATGTGTAGAGACCAACGCTGCCTTCTGTCTTTACTTTGCTCTTCATCTGGAATAAAAGATGGAGGGAAGGAAAAAGAAGCAAGTTGAGGGAGAAAGGAAAGAAGAACAGCAAAAGTAAAAGTGCACAGGGGAAAGACTGACTCAAGTTGACTGTCTTTGCCCATGAAAGAACCATTTTCACTTTTATGACTCACAGCTTCGCAGATAAATGGGGTACGAATGAGTTCATGTGACACCTTGTCTCATGTCGGAGGTCAACTCATCTGTTGGGTAAACAAAAGGTGTTTTCCCATGTACCAACAGAAACCAAGAACAGTGAACTCCCGGCTCTCCCTCTCCCTCTCATTGTGCATTAAAACGGCATGTTTTGCTGCAGAAAATAACTAATTATAAGACTTTTGGAGAAATAAAATGGCAGGTGGAACAGAGAAATGAAACAAAATAGAGATGCTGGAAATTCAGAGGAAGCGGGAAATGAGAATGATGTTAATTTGAACCTATTAAACTAAAGATGAGCACAGACGTACTGATAATTAAATCAGCATGATTCAGAACCAGTGAGGGAGGATGAGGAGGCCCAACCTTTGATGTGTAAAATAATCCCAAGATATGCAATTTTCTATAAAAGAAGCCGTCTTCATCTGGAAGTCTGGCTCCAGAAAGGTTCATCAGTCACAGAAATCCAAGCTGGATTTTAGGGTAACAAGTAACAGGATACAAGGGTTCAGCTAAATTTGATTTTACATGATTTACAGCATTTTTGGTATTTCATGCTGATCATTTTTTTATGATTGTGAGAGTCTGCTGCAGGAAATCTCACGGTCTCACCTTCCACTGTGGCAGGTGTCGCAGACGGGGCATACTGGTCAGACAGCCGAGGATCCAGGAGAGCTCGGCGTGCTCGGACACCTGCAGAGTTAGAGAGGGGTGTGGGGACACATCCAGTATCACCGTTAAGGATAAAATGACCTGTTATATCTGCTTAAAACACACAAACACCATCTCTTCCATCTGGCACTGAATTGCTCAGTTTAAATCCTTTCTCTGACATTTAATAACTTGTGCTCACTGGGACATATGTTTTCGTTTGCTTCAGCTTTAGTTAAAACTGGTGGAACTACTCAATCTTTCCTAATCTGTTACCTGCCATATTTGGAAAACAGCTATTAAAGCTCAAGGATCTAAATATCTGTGGCTCATCAACTAACTCTCAGGCATGGACACTGTTTGTTTGTGTTTTCACTCCATTTGTCTTTTAGTGGTTTTCTTCATTTCTGTTGGGCTGTGTACAAAAGCAATTACTGGTCTTGGAGGTTGGATTATGTGTTCCAAAACCGACGTCTGTATATGAACATAGTGTACATACACATGCAAACTGCTTGTGTGTGACCAGAGAGGTCAGAAGAAATAAATTAAGCAGGCAGATTAAACAAAAAGATGAATAGATGAGCAGTATGGTAAGAGGCAGCTGTGGTGGAGGAAGACCAGGTAACTCCCTAGTGCCTCCAAGTGGCAAAGAAGAGTACTGTCAGACTACACCTCTCAATCTGCCCTCCATTCCTTACAAAGACAGAACCACCAGCTCACACCTGCGTCCAGCCAATCAGGACAAACTGATATCCAGTTTCTGATTCAATTTTGTCTATTTGTGCAATGACACAACAGGAATCCAACATAACACAGCATAAGGACAAACTAGAAAGCAGGATTCTTTTACATTAATGATATGGTATCAATGATACAATGCTGGATTTTGGATCAGCTGTGGTCACATTGGGGGTTACTGGTGGCCAATAAACACTGGTTCAAAGAAAACAGATCCATTCCTAACGTTCAGACCTCAATGCCATAATTACAGACGTTTGTATATATTTTCCAGAAAAAAAAAACAGTGCGTGTGTGTGTGTGTAGAAACAGGAAATATCCTTTTGCTTCAGCAAATTACAGTTTATGGACACTGCCTATATTGCCTTCCTCTCATTTTCTTGTTGCGTGAAACAGGGCTGCGACATCAACACCAGACAGCAGCGACATATACCTGGATTTCAAGCCGACATGCAAGGGGGCTGGGATTCACTACGTGCTGCAGACAGACAAGACATAGGACAGATGTCGATGACAGCAAACACAGGGACGGATATGTTTTAAGTACAATAAAACTATGGTATTTAAAGGCCGGTAAGAACAAGGCCTCCACTCACTGCACCCAATAAGAGATATACTTGCAGATCATATGGGAACTGATAGGGACCCCCACAACAAATCCTTCAGGTGAAAAGAAGAGATTTTAGAGAACTGCTAACAGCTGGACCTACACAGTAAATGGGCTTTTCTCCTCAGTATAAAACCCTGAGGATTTGCAGATCTGCTGATTCATTCACTTCCTTTTTGATACCACTGACTTCAGCTCATCACCAGTTCTGTTCCTTTTTCAGTGAAGTCCAGTATTTTCTTTGGGCAGCCGTCCTGTTTTTACATGTGGAGCAGGCGTGTTGAACATGAGGACTGCCTTGCTGCCAAGTTATGTGGCATGAAACTAAACGAGAATAAAAATAGAACTGTGTGTGTGTGTGTGTGTACAGGGGGCCGAGAAACACAGAAGACCTGAACTTAACTATCTCACACTCTTTATAACACATATGCACACGGTTCAACTTCTAATAAAGCAAAACCCACACAGCAAACACTGAATCTGTCGAAGGGCTTCTCGGTTTCTTTATGTGGCTGAAGCAAGAATCAACGGAGGTTTATGGCATGTGGTTTGAAGCTGCTGTAGAACACAGCTGAGATAAGCATCAGGCGCAGTCAAACGAGCTTTCAGGGCCAGTCAGCATGTTAGCAGGTAGACATCATAGAGTCAATATAAGTAAAATAAACAAAGATGGCCAATGGGCTCAATGACAAACTTGAAAAGAGACTAGACATGGTTTGGAAAAAGAGACATTCATAACCTGGCAGTGATACACTAACAATAGCCATCCTCTGCAGCATTGATTAGGTTAAGAAAATAATTTTTAATGGATACAGGAGCTAAATATGTGTGTGTATAAGCATAAGCCAAGCGACAGTGCTTCCTGTGTCATCACATATCTATATACGTTTCTGCTTCTCAGTATGATTCATCTATGATCTGTCTTTCTGTTTATTACAGAGGGAAACAAAGGAGCTTTCACTCAAAACACGCTACTGCTGCAGTCCATGGGCATTGCAAAGGAACAACATTGCACCTTCCTGTTGGAAAAATTTAATTAAACAGCCCATGAATTATTTGGAATAGAAACTACATTTCTCAGCCTGATATTTCAAATGAGGTCCAAACAGCAGGGTTGTAGGGATTCTCCAAAGCCACACTTTGGTTCATACACTACTTACTTGAATGCAGCTGTGATCACTCGATCATCACTGGACCAAAATAGTCTTGTGACATGTGCAGTTGGAAAACAGTAAGACACAAGTAACAAAATATACAGCTTGCCCCAACTGTAAATAGAATAATAATTTCATGATTTACATGTGTTATAGTGTGAAGTGAATAGTGGTGGAAGAAGTACTCAGATTGCTTACTTTAAGTAAAAGTATCAATACCATAGTGTAAAAATATTCTGTTACAAGTAAAAGTATTTCATTCAAATGTTACTCAAGTACAAAAGTATTAACATCAGAATATACTAAAGTAACAAAAGTAGCCATCATCATTGTATTTGTCTAAATCTGAAAAGGAAACAAAGTTATCAAACCCACAGCCACCCCTAACATAAAATATTTAATATTTTATTAACATAAAATATAATGTACCAAAAGTAAAAGTACTCATTATACAGCATAGCAAAGTATACATTGATATACATCATATCATTTGATTATAATTATTGATATATCATTGTGTACGTCACATAAATGTTGCAGCTGCTAAAGGAAGAGGTCATTTTAAATACCTATATGCTTTTAATTTGAATTACTGCTGGGCAGCTTGTGAATTTTACAGAAATGATCAATAAATCGTATGACTATACTGTTTTGCTTTATTAACCTCACTCTGAAAAATAACTAGCAGCTGAAGTTGAGCATCTTTGCAGTGAAATATTTCTATTTGAAATGTACAGTACATAGGACCAATCAATTAGCCGATCAGTGAAATGTCAAAAATTAATTTGCAACCATTTCAATGCTGGAACCACAGTTTCTGTGCTGTTTTAAGAACAAATTCCAAACGTTCTCTGGTTACAACTTCTGCAATGTCATGAAATGTGAGGATATTTTTCCAGTTTAATTAATATCACTCTAAGGAGAAACCCTCTGGGTTGTGGGCTGTTGAAAAAACAAGGCATTTGATAACACCTTGGGATCTTGGGAGTTATATTTTCACTATTTTTGTCAATTAACCAGCAAAATTTTATATGGTGAAAATAACTGCAGCACCAAAATAATATACATATAAAAAAGTATGGACATTGTAGGTGCTATCTTATGCTAATTAGCTAGCTTGAAATGAAATGCATCCATTCATCAGTCCAACCACCATTCATCTGTCCGTCCTTGGTCTCCAGCTCACCTGAGACTGTTGGAAGAGTATTACTCTCTCTGTGTCGATACCACAGGCCAGCAGACTGGCTGCCATGTCCAGAATGTTATTTCTGAGTTGGTTTGGGTCCTGAGGTTGGGTGATGGAGTGCATGTCCACAATGCTGTAGAGCACTAAAGGATACTGGATCTGCAGGGCCACCCAGTTTTCCAGAGCACCCAAGTAGTTGCCCAGGTGGGGCACTCCAGTCGGCTGGATACCAGAGAACATGCGCCCACCTCCTGGAGGCTCCTAGAAGAAAAGGGGAATCTGCTCAGAGAAACTTTATTACCACTTTAAGTTAAAGATGGTCTTTTAAGATGTTTTAGTATTTAGTTATCAAATGACATGTGGCATTGTGATATATTTACCATAAGCAAACAAGATGACTCGGGATGTTTCATAGTTTGTATATCTCATTTATTGGTGCTTCTTAAAATAAAAAGCCCTCAGGATTAGGTTCTGCCGATCAGGACCAGCAGGATGAAATCTGGGTAAGTCAGGTCACAATGCCATGCTTGCTCCACCCTCATTAACACCACTAAAAACAAAACTGTAAAAGAGTAAAAGATGATGGGCAGTAAAAAACCAAAGGTGGTGAAACAAAAAGCAGAGACTTGGCGAGAGGGTGAAGGTGGAAAGGTGAGAAGCTCACAACACAAGGCAGCCTACAGTGTTAAACCACTGGCAGGGTAGAAGCCAGCAGCCACAGTAACTGAGATTTTAACTACATGGCTAGTACCTCTGTTCTCTCCCAAACACATCCAGCACAAAGAATGCATCACCCCGCTGGCCAACACTAACACTTACACCAACCAACTTCAAGACCTCTGTTATCACAACAGAGAAGGACACTGAAAGAGAAGGGGCAATAAATCAAAAATGCCAAACAACACACAGCCTACCATATTGCCAACAATTTTACAGAGCTGGAACTGAGACAGCAGCAGGTTTTGGACTCCCTCTCTTTCTGCTGAGCCTGGCCTGGCCAGACTGCCTCATTTCTTCTGGCATCACCCACTCCACTGAACCTTGGCTTTCAATTGGCCCCACTGGAAAAGAGATGTAACCACTGCTTGTGACACCAAGCACCACACGATACAATTAGAGGGCAAGCAGAGTGGTACCTGCCATGAGATGTGAAACCACACAGCCAACCAAAATCTAGGGCTTCTTCATCAAAGCTATTACACGGTAGATTAGGTCTGTGACGGAGCAGGAAAACGCAAAGACTCAGCCTGGAAACTGTGTTTTTGTTGGGAAGTTAGAAAGACAAGCTTTGGGGGGGGGGGCTCATGGTGGTGGATTCAGTTCCTGGCAGAGGTGCTGTGGCTTGGCAGGAACTCACAGGTGAGAAGGCAGTGAGGGATCACATCTTTGTTGGGGTGGCGAGGTTGAATATGTGGGAGAGATAACACGGGCTTCCATGAGCACTACCAGTCTCAAGAAGTCTCCAACGAACAGTTCTGACACTGTGTACGTTTGTTGCTACAGGGAGAGGAAGTCCAGTTCTAATTAATACTGTATATCCATGAACTCGAAAGATTATCACACTTCAAAATACTGTACAATAGTTTAAGAAAATACTGTTGGCAAACCCCAATCCCCTTATTTGATCCTTCCTTCCTCCTCAATTGACCCAGAAGTCATTCCAGTTGAGCCAGGATTCTTACAGGTACATCTCATGTCTCAATAAGATTGTTTCTACGTGCTTGGATGTAGGATGTTCCAAGTCTCTTATATCGGTTCTGACAATCAAGGAGTGAGGGCAGTGCTAGAGGAACCATGACAAAGGATACACAAGACCATCCTTTAAAAATAAATAAATAAATAAACATTTTATGAATATCACAGATCAGCTGGCCATTGGACACTTTAATAAGGATAAGGATAATCACTTTGTTTCTGGTACAGAACCGAGGCAGCCATCTGCGGTGCCAACTCACACCAATGGCTCAGGGGCAACTTGGGGTTCAGTGTCTTGCCCAAGGACACTTCAGCATGTGGACTGCAGTGATTTGAACTGCCAACCTTCTGGTTGGGAGATGACCGCTCTACCCACTGAACCACAGTTGCCCCAAATGAAAAGACCTGAGAAAAGGATGTCTCACGTGTTCCTTCAGGTCCTTCATTCTCATGTTTTCTTTGCATCGTACATGAGCAGGACTAAGACACAATGAAAAGATGCAAGTGAGGAAAATGACTTGGGATGCAGCCACCATCTGTTCTGAGGATCGAGGAGCGAAGAGGCTGCTGGATGAGCCATGAGCAAAAATATAGAGCATCCTTTGATGTCTTTTATAGACTAACATACCCCTTTATCAGAGGTCTGCTGGTGATTGGACACTTCAGATGAAGAATTAGAGGAAAGGACGTCTCATGTTCATATAAACATTTTCCTCGTTTCCAGTCTCCGCACAATTTTTCATTGCATCATATATGGATGAGACTAAGACAGAAAATATGCAGGTGAGAGAATTCTGAATGCAACTAAGGTAATTGGGATTTCCATCCCATTCCCATTAAAAAGCAATATATGAGGAATGTATCCTTACACATATTAACTGGCCAATGCAGTATGTTAATGCTGCATTGCATAGCAGCAAGAGTCGAGCCTGGTTCAACCTTTATGCCAACAATCCTGAATTTTACGAAGAATTGGAAGAAAAACAAATCACCAGTTTCCACAACTGACAAATCAGGCTCACAAAAAAGTTTATTTACAGTAGTAGTTATTGTGAAGCTTTTTAGTGTATCATATGAGCTTCTTCTGCAGATTGAGCAGTCCCCATTTGTCAGTGATGGGCACAACCATGCGTTCCAAGTCAAGCCTATCGACTACCCACTACCCACAAAAACTAAACGTGAAATTCTGATTCAGCAAACTGTGCAGATTTAAACACCAAGGCTGATACTGTAAGGAACTTGTAATCATTTTCAGCCAAAAACAGAACCCACAACTAGGAGGTTAAGTTTGTTTTAGCTCACGATGCAATGTATTGACAGGCTGTACACTCCAACACCTCAGCATTTTAACAGAAAAGCTAGCTTTTCAACTCTCCCCCACAAATCCCACGAGACCTCTGTGGTATCACCTCAGATCTGACTGGTGATCATATGTTCCCCAGCTGCACACTTCAAGGTTATCATAACTAATCATTAAAACCTGAAACTTTCAGAGGATATCCTCTTCGCTCACTCCTGAGAAATCAGCTACCTTGACAGCTTGCTGAGCTACATCACATTCAATCTGACTAAAGGACAAGGCTCGGGAAAGGGACTTGAGATCAGATAACAGCTGCTCTCTCACCAGCGTGGCCCAGAGTTTCTCCATCTCTCAGCCCCAAGGGATCAAATAACTACTGCTCTAAGGCCAGCATGACCCACAAAGTCTCCGTCTGCTCGCCTGAGGAGCAGGTCACTACCCAGCAAGAGAGAGTCAGGAAGGAACTGGGTGCTTATATCATTAAAGACAGGGTAATTGCACTGGAGTGTCACTGATGCTGAGAGCCTCTTAAGAGGTGTCAGGATTGATTGTGGCCCTGAATCTGGCTCAAATATTTTCTCACCTCAAGCTGACACATCAAACGCATGTTCACTCTCTGCTCCGACCCCCCGGGGAAGCCATTAGCCATGAAGACATGGTAATGATATCATTTGAGCCAATCAAGTGTCAAATGAGAGTCAACATTACAGCTAAGTAGCCACTGAACAATCATGGGTCATCACGCATCACACTGCTTCACCAAACGCCTCCGTGTAACGTCTGGTCAGAGGAAACACATGCCTCTAGCTGTTAGAAGAGAAAGCTGGTCACATAAGGAAGTAAATCAACAACTGTGTGATAAGTTAAATATTGTAAGAAGACTGTTCATAATGAATTCTGCACTGCAAAGCCCACAGTAGTAAAACACTATCTAGCATATTTTTCCCATGAACTATACTAAATCTGTGGCAAGTGAGTGCCTGACTTCATATTTTGGGGGTGACATAACACCTTGTGGCTTGGGAAAATAAAAAATTTAAAAAAATCCACAAATGCACAAGAAGCAGTCCCACTTTAATTTATTTCATTTTACTTGTACTTTTACTATATTTTCATTATTCTCTAATTTGCTTGCTACTTTATGTGCTAAGCACAATTTTGGACCAAGTGTATTGTGTTTAAAATGCTCTATAGGATAAGTTTGTTAATTTTGTTGGATGCCTACTGACGAGGCATAGCACACACTGAAAACTTGCTCTCTCCTCATATTTTACACTGAAAGGAGCCATGTTGTCGTACTACACCGTCATTAAGGCGACGAAAGCTTTCTTCATCTACATCTGCCATATGCTCAATGCATTATGCACCGTATGTGTGACATTAACGTCAACAACTAGGAGGTTACATACACTAAAAAGGCCATGTTTTCTCACTAGCAGCACCTTTCCGGGAATATGTGTTCATTTGTCAGTGTGTGTATGTGTGTGGTTAACTCCACTGGGATAAAGGTCATGTGCAAACATAGACCTATGTCCGACAAACATAGACCTATGTTTGCACGTGTTATAGTTTTTGCCTACATCAACATCAGTGAGGCTGTAAGTGAAGTGTCTGTCCATATGTGTTTGGCAGCTCATGTCAAGGATCAGCACTGGTAGAAAGAAACCTATCAAACAGTCCCTCAAAAAAAAAAAACTGTGTTATTAAACGCAAAACAATAGTGAACTGGAGATGATTCACTTTAGTTGAAGACATAAAGAACCAACATGGAGTTTCCTGCAAGTTCAGTAAAAATGTAGTTCCAGGAAACTTCTCCCTTCTCTTTCCATAGTCTTTTCAAAGCTCTGGAACCACTGCATTGTGGGAAATAAAAGACAAATGTTGAATTTATCATTTCAGTCAGCACAAAATACAATGAAATTACATCCTCACAGAAGAATGTATAAGGATGGGACCAGATGAATAAACCTTGTGTACACAGAGGTCTTACAGTCCCTCACACACACACACACACACACACACACACAGATGCACAGAAATATGCACACAAATGTTTGCCAGGGTTTAAAGGCTGTGTATTCACAGGGTTTCAACTCTCATAGTTAAAATGGACGAGGACTTTACTAATATTATAGGCTGAATTAACTGATATGACATTTTATTATGAATCTCGGCTGTGTGGGCCCCTAAACTCTCATAGCCTCTCTGAATATCATGCTCATTGCTGCTTAATGGACCTTAATCTTCCAGTTGGTGTTGATATAAG